TTAAACACGCTGAGCTACGACTGCAGTCGCGACTCACGCGCTTTCCAGCGCCCACGGCGCTCTGGGGGCGGGCTGGGGCGCGGCAGAGTCTCCGAAGAACAACATAAAGACGAAGGGAGAGAACTGAGAGAATGCAAATCATTGTAGAAAACACTGCGGATGCATTCTCTAGTTTGAACCAATAAAGAAGCGAATCTTAAACAAATCATCCAGTTGGTTAATAAGGGAGAAAAAAACACAATAGAGGCTTGGAAATTAATAATTTCAAGTAGTAATATAGGTATTACATTAGTATAACAACTAATAAAAGTCGTTTGCTTATCTAGTTCAACTGATTATTTGTACAAAGTTACTAACATATGTTGTATGTTGAAAATTTCTCGGAAAAGGCTACCAAAGCCGCAATTACTTGTACAATTGCAACGACGAAGAACTACGGATAGCGGTGAGGTTTCGGAAGAGGGCCATGGGGACATTTAAAATGAGCCACTATATGCCGAAGAAGGGAGTGTGTAGCCAATAAAAATCTTGATTCGAGAGAAGACATGAATGTAGGACACATTACGAGGCAGGAAAGGAACAAAAATGAAGCAAGAGAAGCCCGCCCAAAGCAGCGGCGAAGAAGAACCCCGAGCAGCAATGAAATTTCATGGCGAGTCAGTGCGTGATTGTTGCGGCGAGGGAGGGGGCGGAGACACAGGTGGGCGCGAGAGAAGCGCGCGGCAGCGACGGTCGATCGCAAATACACAAATATATTGGCGGAAAGCGCCAGCCCCGCCCCGCCGGAGTGACGCCTATCTCCCAGCGCCCGGACGCTGGCGGTATGCGAGGCTCCTTTCGTAGACCGCGGAGGCTCTCCGCCTCGCTCACGCCCTCCTAATACGCCGTCCATCGCCATCCCATTCCATCCAGCTCTCCATCATTCAGCGCACGCCCATGCCTCCCACCCCGTCCTCACCCCACCCCATTGCCTCTCTCTTCCATGTCCTCACGCTCCCACGCCGTCCCGCCCACGCATTCGCTCGACCTCCTGACGGCACGCCATCCCCGCCCGTCACGCTGCCCAAGACACCTCGACTCGCCGACGTCGACTTCGCCCCGCCCCCCGTCTCTTCCTCCCCATCCACGTCATCCCCGCTCGCCACACATTCTGCTCACCAAAACCCACCTCGTCAAAGCCTAAACTTATCAATCGACACGTCGAACACACCTCACCAACACTCCCTAAAGCCCACGTCACCGACACCCCAAGCTCATCTTACCAACACTCGAAAGACGAACCTCACCGGACACCCCAAAGCCCACCTCACAATACCCCAAAACACACCACACCAACGTCCAAGCCTCCCACACCAACAGTCCGCCCCCATCAGCCCCACGCCCCCACCATCACCAGCGCGTTTGTTCGCTGCAGATCGCCCGCCTCGCTCGCCCTGCCCGCCCCGCCCCTCCCCCGCCCCGCGAGCGCCAGGGCATGTGCCGCCCCCGCGCCTGCGCCCCCTCGCCCCCCGCCTCCCCTCGTTGTCCTCGCCGCCGCCGCAGCCGCGCGTCTCGGAAATCAATCGACAGCGGAGCGCCGGGATAAGAACGACGACGCGGTGGAGGGAGGAGCTGGGAGCGAGAGCGTCCCGTGCGACGGGGGGCGGCCAAGGACAGATGCCAGACCCCGACCCCAGAAAGGAGGCGAGGATGCGCCTAGAATGGGGATGACGAGAAGAGAGCTCGAGAATAGGGCTGAATTTCTTTTGTGGTTTGGGGGGGGGGTGTTTTTTTCTTGGTTTTATGGAGGATGCGGGTGTTGAGAGTTTTCACAGCTATCTCAGTATTTACATGTTTCCCCTCGTGTAACGAGAAAATGTCACATTTATAACTTCTGTGGTATCAGAGTTATTCAGCACATTTCATTGCTAATAGTTGGTCTTTCCTCGACGCCCCTACTTTAGAACAAATCTTAAACATTATTCGGGATACATTTTACTACTTTACAATTTTATATCAGTGCATAAACACACCCCATTTGGGACAAGTTTTGTAACGTTCTGCTCAAAGCATGCACTGCTTTGATTACATTTCAAATTGTATTCTCTGCGTCTGAATGTTTTATGCAAAAAAAGTACTGTCCTAAAAAAACATCAGCGGCGCGCTTAATAAATCATTGACTTCAAATAAATCGATGCTAATTTACGCCAGATGTTCTTATCAAAACATCATATAATGTTGACACATCGATCGGAAGTCGCATCCCCTAGATGTACAGTGCATGTGATAGGAAGTTGTAAGTAGAACAGCTTCACAATCACACAGAGTTCATTGTTCTCCGTGCGGAGACCAGCGCGCTAAGAACCGCTGGCCAAAGACATTTCTGGCGCTCCGTTGCGAAAACAAAACGATACTAGTTTGCGTTCCAAGAGCGAACAAAGCAACGAGGAATAACAAATGAATTCTGGAGGTGGCACAAATCTCACAACCACGATTATTGCTCAAGATTACTATTAAACTCTTAACCCTTTATTTCTTCACTTTCAATAGAGGCTAAGTGAACTAGTGAAAAAACTAACTATGAATTGTAGAAGAATAGATCACTTAGGGAAAACTGCAATAAATAGGAATTGAAAAAGACTGCACATAAAAAACTGTTTAGAATTATATTCGAGATTGTGTCAACAATTTCATTCTAATGATATCTGAGAGGGAGTTGCAATAATTAATTCAATGGTTGACTGTTCATCTGAAACTCAAAGGGGGTGAGAGAATTTTTTCTCAGTGGTTTGTTTCCAAACCCATTTTTTAAAAATCACACGTTAGCATAGCAGAATTAAAAGAGTTCCACAAAAGTACACATTTTTCAATTTAAGTTTAAATTAAAATATTAACCTGACAAAGCCTATGTTGAATTTCGAACAGAAAAATCTCACATAGGTCTGGAGATAATGACTTATTTATATATCGTATAGGAATCCCTGGAAATTTAATGTATTTTCAATGATATGTACTTATCGTACTATTCAGAGTGTATTAAATTCATAAAAACAGGAGAAAAATATATAAATTGAAGATAATTTGAGTGCACATTATTTGGGATAAAATTTACTAGTTAAGTTTCATATTTCCAAGTCAGTGCAAAAATTATTTTACCCAAAACATTCTAATGAAATATATTCTTCACCAATTACTTAAAATATAAAGAAAAATAAAATTTTAATAATATTTATTTTGAGACATTATATATCTTTGCAGGCACCTTGTGACAGAGAAGAGAAGGAAATTTGAGCAAAAAGTACTTGCACTTAGTGCAAAAAAACTTGAGTCTTTTCTTCAAATTCTTTGCCATTTAGGCCTTTTTTTACTACTTTCTGGAATTTGTTTATTGCAAATGCGTAAGTATTGACTCTGTTTTTTAATACCATTTGAATGTGACTCTTTGGAAAAATCTTCTATTGGAAATCTGGAGAGCCTCATCTCTGACAAGTTCAAAACTCAGATTCTTGAAAATGCAGCATATAAACTTTCAAGCCATTCATGCAATTATAAAATTACGAAAGAAAAAA